GCTGACTCGGCCAAGTCAGCAAATACGTAGCTCAATTCGTATATACGAATCACCCCTGCACAAGTACATGGACTGTATTTCGGATATTTTGAAGTAGTGGTACTTAAGTGTCAGCCAACTCAAGTTTTGTGAACTACAGTGCATTTTTCTCTTTCCCATATAATCGGGCTATTTTGTTTTCCCCGCTCTCAAACAGATTGGGCCACTATATATTGGCTCGTGTGAATGTGTGAAAATGCATGCGTTAGATTTGGCCCGCACAATATACATGTACTCCCTCTGTTTTTATTTAGTCCGCATATTATCTTTAATCAAAGTCATGATTTATAAACTTTAACAAAGTTTATAAAACAAAATTTTAACATATATAAAACAAATCAATACCATTAGATTCATTATTGAATGTACTTTCACATCCAGTAGATTTGTTATGGTAAATGTGTATATTATTTTCTATAAAGTTGGTCAAACTTTATGAAGTTTGACGTCAGTCAAATCTAATATGCAGAGTAAATAAAAGCGGAGAGAGTATGAACGCATGCTGTATGGCCTCGGTTCAACGAAAAAGAAGAGAACGTCGAAAAAGGTGTGCTGTTAGCTAAAATTCAAATGAGGACGGCAGAAGCCCGAGCTAATAGGATCGGATCGGAAGGATCCTCTCCACGGCAACCGTATATCGTGACTTATCCTCTCGAGGAGAGCATGTAAAGTGAAGTCAATATTACATGCTGCACAATTCAAACTACGTGATGGTTAATCACCTACTACTAGCTTATAAATAGCGTCTCGGCCTCCCATCTGATTATTCCAAACCCAAAGCATATCATCTGCTCTCCTCTGTCTACTTTCATCTCATGGCTGCTCCGGCTCTTAAGTTCGCCGCCGTCATGCTCCTGGCCGCCCTCTGCGCGGCCGCGCTGGCCCCGGCTGCGTCGGGGCAGCCGACGGACGCGCTAGCAACGTGCATCGGGCGCTGCGGGTGTGTGCTCTGCCCGAAAGGGAAGGTCTGCATCGCTATTTGCACTCCCCCGCCGCCCTGCGCAGCCAGATGCCGCTGCACCTATTCCGGCACGGGCTGCTAGGCGGCTGAGACCCACGACAGTCTATCTGGAAGCCTGGCAGCGCATGCGCTGAAGCCGGCAGCTAGCTCATACGTACGTTCTAGCCGTCTATTGTACGCCCTGTGTGTCCGTGCATGCATGCACGTTTCATGCGTGCGTCTCTGTGCTGTGATGTGGTAATAAAGTGTACACGGATCGATCTGTGAGACAAAAATAAGTAAATGGAAATGTCATTTTCGTTTCACGGTGTATATTACCTTTATCATAGTCAAACTTCAGAGCATGTATAATGGAAACGTTCATCAACCTATGTAATACCAAATACATGCAGTATAAAATACGTTTTATGTGTATCTAATGGTTGATTTGGTACTGTTATTAATGATTTTGTTGTAAACTTTGTCACAGGTCAAAACTAGCTAAGTTTGGCTTGTGCCAAGACAAATATGCATTATATTTAAAAAAAGTGAAGTGATAATCTTCAGATGGTAACATACTAGATTTTTGAAAAACCGGTACCCGGAATGGATTACGTTTCATGAAGTAACTGTGTTGCAGGTCCTCCATCATTCAAAGCAAGGGTTCATCTGTCATTCGAAGTGCCGTTGGGGAAGCCAAACATGTCGCAGAGGCGCTGCAGAGTTACCCTGTAGGGAGTGCCATTGATGGTGAAGCGGCTATGTTGCACCGCTCAAATATCGACAGTACCCTCGACAGTTGGGACGAACTCGTGGATGATCTCTTTATATGTCGTGGTGTGCAGCTGAACACCCATGCAAGCGTTGTACGCCATCCAGTTGAAGTTGGCGATAAGTTCCTAAAGATAGGAATGTACCTCCACCGTGTGGGCAGCTCCTGGCGTGCACTCTGCTTGTGGTAGTGCTGGTTCACCTCCGCACTGAGCGAGATGCACTTGCTCCTGAACGCTTCGGGACCACATGCCTACTTGCTAACAAGTACTCCATCAACGCTCTTATATTATGGGACGGAGGAAGTAATAAATTTTGCTTTAGAAAATAAAAAACATAGACAAAGGGTCGATTTTATTACCTCAAAATAAAGCATCAAGATGATACATACACAATGAGCACACATCAGGCTTTTTCATAGCTAGGCTACACACAACCAACATCAATCCACACATACAGAAAACATGCCGTTAAATACCAAAGTCATACAAGACCAAAACTATTGTGTAGACTTCATATCCGCACCAACCATCTCATGACACCACACGAACGATGAGAAAAGAAGCGACACTCAAAACACCGCCGTCGTAGGATGCAACCACCCAAGGCCAAAATCTAGGTTCTCATCTTAATGAACTAGTCCCAACGTATCCGAGGAATGCCTTCAACAAGGTAACGATGTAAAAACATCCCCATTGCCAAGTATAACCAACTTGGGTCAGGCCTAGGCTTTCAACCTCGAACTCGAGATCGGATGCTCCAATACCACCACCATTGACGTTAGTCATGTGTTGTTGCCACCACTTTTCCGTGACCTACCAGCTACATGCGATGTGTAGCCATCTTCGCTGCCCAACCTTCCCTCTGCATTAAGCCGTTGTTCGTAGTTTGCATCTCATTGTCTAAATCACTTGCTGGATCTAAAGGGAGAAACCCCCAGCAAGACCTTTTAGTGGCCACCGCAATCCACAATAAGATGGCTGATGCCGCAATAAAGCGGCAACCACAGGCCAAAGTGGTCACCTCAACGGGCTAATCTGGGTGACGAACCAGCCACTCCAACATCCCAACCCAAAACCGGTTGGATCAGGACGACGGGTATCATCGCAAGCAACAACAATAACCACCACGCCCCTGATCGAGCCCCGCCAACATCGGTTGTCAGAACCACCGCCCCGTGCCTTGCTCCGAGTTAGCAGCACGACCACCAGGCGAGGCGTCGCAGAACAAGACGTGGAGCAGCGCTTGCCCAGCAGAAGAGCTAAGGAGCAAGAGTTCCGGCGCCGCCGACCATTGACCAGAGCTTTGCCCGGAAGCCAACTGCCGACGACAGCGAGGGAGAAAGGGGGCGAGGAAGGGCCCTCGGCAGCGGTGGAGGCGAGCCACCCGAGTCGCCCGATGGGATTACATGGGGCCGCTAGCAAGATGCGTTTTTGCACTATGCTAAATGAATTGAACCACTATTGCCTAGTCTGAACGTTTGTGAACCGGATAGCTTTGGATTTGTACAATATACATGTATGAATGCATGCAGTACAGCCTGGGTTCAAGGAAAAAGACGAAAACGTCAAAGAAGGTGTGCTGTTAGCTAAAAGTCAAATGACGAGGGTTGAACTAAAGAGCATACATTGTATCGTGAGAAGGTGCGCTGTATTTATAGGCTATACATTGTTGACACGAAAAGCATCGATCCGACCCGATCCGATCGATGCTCTTCCAGTCAACAATGTATCGATCGTCAGGTCTCCACTCAAGATAAGCATGTAACGTGAAGTCAATACTACATGGTGCACAATTCAAACTACATGATGCTTCCTTATTCACCTACTACTATAGCCTATAAATAGAGGGTCCCCGGCTCCTGTCTGATCATTCCAAAAGCATACCATCTCCTCTCCTCTCTTTTCATCTCATGGCTTCTCCCGCCCTCAAATTCGTCGCCGTCATGCTCCTGGCCGCCCTCTGCACCGCCGCGCTGGCCCCGGCCACATCGGGGCAGCCGACGGATGACGGGCTAGCGACGTGCATTGCGCGCTGTGGGTGTGTGCCCTGCCCGAAGGGGAAGTTCTGCCCCGCCGTGTGCACGACCCCGCCTGCCTGCATGGCCAAATGCGAGTCCCAGTAGTCCGGCGCGGGCTGGTAGGCTGGCTGCGACCTGACGACGCCCCCTGCGCCCGCCGCTGCTGTGAACGCATGATGCTGAAGCCAACACTGTATTGTAAGCCATGTATGTCTGCATGTATTGTGCGTGTCTGTGCTGTGATGTGGTAATAAGATGTCAACGGATCGATCCATGAGACAAAAATAAATATATGGAAATGTTATCTTCGTTCCACAGTGTATATTACTTTCATCATAGTCAAATTTCAGAGCAAGTATACTCGAAACATATATTGACCTATATAATACCAAATTAATATAGTATAAAAATATGTTTTATGTGGATCTAATGGTTGATTTGGTATTGGCAATAATGATTATTTTGTAAACTTGGTCAAAGGTCAAACTTAACTAACAGGCTCCCTCCTAGCCTTCTGATGTCCTCGTCTGTCTGATTTCAGTGCTAACTGTCTTGATCAGCTAGCCTCGACGACGGCAATGACATACGCTCCATTGACCGCCGCACTTTGACGTCTGATTCACCGACGACAAGCCATTCCCAGCTTTTCCCCGACCCCTCATCTATGCCCGCGGTGTGCATGAAGTGTGATAACATGGTGCGGGCCAAACGACGATGGCAAAAACTGGAGCAGGAAGGCATGGACAGATGCAGCGAATTATGGGGGATCTTTGATGCGTGACCCAGCACAGCAGTCAGCAGTCAAGATAACAAAAAGAAGCCTAGGCCTGGAGCAAGGGGACAAGAGCTAACCATACAATTGTCTCCAGCAGGCCAACTAGAGCATGTGACAGATCAATGAACTCAGCATCTCTTCACGTGTACACATACGTCGGAATAACTTGTCTCCGAAATGGATGTATGTAGAACTAAAATACGTCTATATACATCCATTTCTGCGACAAGTAGTTCCGAACGGAAGGAGTACTATAGAGCAGTACTAGCACAGTACTATATTGCAGTACGTACAGCCAAAGGTTGAAGAGAAGACAAGGAAGCAAGTGCGTCCAGGGCTAGTTGTTACCGTTGAATCCCAGCATGCATGTGATGGATGCGCATCTAACATGGACAGCGCAGCTTTCTACCAGCAGCATCTTGCTCCGTCTGGGATCCGATGGATGCGGGGGCAACTAGATAGCAGCATCTTGGATCTTGCTCCGTCGAGATCCCATGGATGCGGATGCGGGATGCGCTCCGCCGTGCCTACCGCCTATAAATAGCAACTCCGTCCTGCCTAGCCCTCTCACTTTTCGTTCTCTTTCAAGACCTTAGACAGCATATCCACTCATCAAATGGCGTCCACTCTCAAGGTCGCTGTCGTGGTCGCCGCCCTCTGCGCCCTGCTCGTCCTCACCACGGCGACGGTGACCTTCGACTCGCTAGGAGAATGCCTCCGCGAATGCAGGATGCAACTCCGTAGGTGCCAAGACGAGTGCGCTCAAAGAGAGTATTTAACCAAAAACTACCACAATTCACAGAACCGTGACGAAAAACTACCACTTTACGATTTTGTCCCGAAAACTACCACTTTCTCGCTAATCCGTGGCAAAAAACTACCAAGTCGCGAAATCGCTCGCTTTGCCTGGGTTAAACGCGAATCTGACCGCTTGGGCCCACAAACCAGGTGCCACCCTGGCCATCCTTCGCGCCGGAGACGCACCCGCACGCGCGCGCCCGCTCCCACCTCGCCGTCGTCGTGCCCACCAAGCTTCTGGGGCCGGCCACTGCCGCGTGGCCGCCAGCGCCTCGCTGCTGCTCCCGCCCGCGGGCGAGCGCGGCGGGGCCAGGCGCGTGGCCACGGGCGCGCGGCCAGGGGCGCGGCGAGGCCAGACGGCCAG